TTTATTATGTTTTACATTTGTACGGAAAGTTAAAATAGTAATTGGGTATTTAGAATCTGAAAGTTTTAAGTGTATTTTGGTAAAACTGTTATTTGGATTTGAATGGCACAAGGATGGGAACCACCTGTTCAGGGTATTACTGAAATCTGTTTCTTATGTTTTTAGAGGCTTCGTGACGGAGTGATCAGAGACATTGAGAGGCAAAATCGGAAAAAAGAAAACATTCGTCTTTTGGGAGAACAGATTATTTTGACTGAGCAACTTGAAGCAGAAAGAGAGAAGACGTTATTGGCAAAGGATCTCAAAAAACATGACTTGAAATGAATGTGGAATATTGATGGGACAGATAATGTTGAGTGTGTATGTGTGTGAGTGTGTTGATGGAGAATAGCTTAGTGAGATCTTCAACCTTTTTTTTTGTCACTGTCCTTTTAAACTCGATCAAGTAAAAAGACAGTGGGCCATGTATTCTAAATTATTACTTTAAAAGTTCTCTATATCTGAGTAGAAAAGTGGGCTGACACTTCTGAAGAGTTTCTTTCTGTTTGTGTAATCCTGATAGAAGCTGCTTTAAGCTTGGTGTCCAGATCTTAGGATTGTTATGAAAAGCACTTCTGACCTTTGAGAAGGAAGGGATGGATAGTAACATCCATTTGGGTAGTTTGATAAGTCGCCACGATGATGAAGCCACAAGAACATCTACGTCAGAAGGACTGGAGGAGGGTGAAGTGGAGGGGGAGACTCTGCTGCTTGTTGAATCCGAGGACCAGGCATCAGTGGACCTGTCTCATGATCAGAGTGGAGATTCCCTTAACAGTGATGAGGGAGATGTGTCCTGGATGGAGGAGCAGCTGTCCTACTTCTGTGACAAGTGTCAAAAGTGGATACCTGCTAGTAAGGAGCTTCTCAATTCCTTTCATTTGTCAACTGTGTGGTTTTTTCCTAACTGTGAAAGACACATGAATGTAAACTAGACCTAAATAAAAGGATAATTAGTATATTTATTTTTAGTTTAGTTGATTAACTACAAATTTATATAAAACAGACACATTTGTACCAATAAAAATTACTATCAACCTCTATCACATTGTTAAATTTTAATATTCTTGATGGCAACCCAATAAAAATTAGAAAATTGGAAGTCCTGTGTTACTTAAAAAATTAGCCAGATTTTTCCTAACAAGATCATGTTAAGAATTTGGGGCCAAATTCTAGGCCCAGTGTAGAATTAAAGTTCATGTTTGTAAAAATTACTCTTAATATTTAACTTACATGGAAAACTGCTATTGTATGTTGAAGTAAGGTCAGAATTAGCAGATTAGAAGTGTTTTGTGCTCTTTTGCTAGGACCATTTTTGTTTTCTATTTGTTGGCCTCTGATCTGCTTGGCAAGAGATATATATATACACACATGCTTCCCTAATACTTCAGTTTTTCAACTCAGTTGTTTCAATTGCTAGCTTCCTGATTCTCAAGGAAGAGTACGCTTTGTCGGTCGTCATGAGTCTTATCAAAACAGGATTTTTCCATTTGGCAGATACCAGTAAAGACATATGTATATATATTAGAGACTTTTTTTGTGTAATAGAATTTCTAACTAGGTCAGAGAAATATTTACATGTATATAATTGTGAAGTGGGTCATTTTCTAGTATGTGGAAATGTTTTAAGATTCAACTATTCACATTAATAGTTACTACTAATAAATAACTTTTGCACAGAAAACAAACCTAGAATTAATTACATATTAGGTAGTTTTTGCTTTTGAGTTGTCTCTTTCTGTTTATTAATTCAGGGTCCTGCCTGAAAATCTCAGTTGCTTTCTTTTTGTCCTCACAGGGTACATTTTAAACTGTCCTTTATGATTGGAACCCTGCTAACTTTAGCCTCTCTTAAACAGAACTTTGCAGTTAGGGGTGAGCTTTTAATTCACAGACAAGTCTTTTTTATCCCTAGGACTTCCCACATTATAATTTCGTCTCTGGAATATGCATCTCTATAGCCTCCATGTCGTCTGTCGTCTGTCGTGCCCCCTACCCCGCATATGCCTCTCCCTCTGGCCAACTCTAGTCATCCTGTAGAAACCACTTCTTCTAGCTTTCCTGTCTTCCTAATATGGGCTGGGCACCCCTTTTATGTGCCTTAACATTGCCCTTACCACACATCATGTTTAACTGCAATGGTTTTATGCCTTTCAGAGCATCAGTGTCACCTGGGGGAACTTTAAAAAATGCAGAGACCCAGGTCTCACCTCAGCTTGATTCATTTCATGTGGGGTAGGCTGAGGCATATTAAAAACAGAAAACAGCTCCTTGGGTGATTCCGGTGCACAGTGAGGATGGAGAGCCACTGCTGTTGTGATTACCTTTGTTCTCATCTCCTTTACAGCATTTGTAAACTACCCAGAGCAGACACTATGGCTGTTCTGCACGTTGTATGTCCAGTTTCTAGCCCAGTGCCTGACAGTGGGAGCTCAGATATTTTTTGAAAGGATGTGTGAAGATACCTGTAGGAGTCAAGAATGTTAACAGTTGGAAAATCCAGTGGGAGCAATAATACCTGTTTTTCCTAGTATCTTTCTCTTACAAGTTAGGGACCTACTGATCTTGGTCATACACTTGATATTGGAAAAATAAAAATCGTCTCTGCTCCCTTCCCTGCCCACTTGCTGCTACGGGCTGGCTAAAACAGGACAAACAACAAGGGGAACTTGGAAAATCTGGTTGATAAACGAATTAAACCTCTTTGGGTTACCACTGCCCTAGATAAACCTATAATACGCCTTTTTTTTTTTCCTCCTAGGTCAGCTGAGGGAACAGCTCAGTTACCTTAAGGGTGATAATTTTTTTAGGTTTACTTGTTCCGACTGCTCAGAAGATGGCAAGGAGCAGTATGAAAGGCTGAAGCTAACATGGCAGCAAGTGAGTAAAAAGCTCTTCTGTAGAATTCATAAGGTTGGTCACCCAAGGAATTTATTGGAATATCTAGAGAAAGAGGAACTTAAATTATGAGCTTTTGAGTTGTCTTGAGGGTCACTTTTTATTTCACAATGAAAATTATATACTGAATATATACTGAAAGGAGTTCTTGGTACTCACTGCTAACTTAGTGAATTGGGTTTGAGATTCTTGAAAACTTCACACACACAATTTCATTTACATATTATAATACCAAACTCGGATTTTAATTGAAAATGAGATTAACATTTTTCTGGCACCCATTTTTGGAATAATGAAACTCTTTAAAAATGTGAAGGTGGCCACATTAGAAATAGATTTGGAAGACATAATGTGGCTGATTGCAGAAACAAACATAATCTAGCTTTTCTTAATTTGAACTCAAATATGTTTGAATATTTTTTGTTTGATTACTATGTCCACTTTTAACCATCTTCAATACCAACATCTTAATCCAACCATATAGCCTGAACAATAGCTTTTTACTGCTCTTTGGTTGTATTAATTTTTTAAATTTTGTTTTTATATTGTCTATAGTAGGCACAATGTATATAGTCTTTAAGTTCTAAAAAGGGATGGATTATACATACTCAATTTTATGCTTATTCATTCAATGAATAGTGAGTGTCTATGATGACCCACACCCTGTTCTAGGCCCAGAGACTACTGTGATGAATGAGACAGCTAAGAACTTCCCACCCCCCAAGCAGCTAACATTCTGGACATTTATTTTACATAATAAACAGTCAAATAATTACCTATAGCACTTTTTTGCTATGAAGGCAATAAATGGTAATAAAAAGAGGTTGTAGATTATACCATCTAAGCTACTTAAGGAGTTCCTGTAAATTGTAGTTGCTTTAGCAATCTTAAGACTTACTTTAATTATCAGTCCTTTATTAGGACATCTAATGAAATTTGTCATGGTTAGTGGAGGGAGCCTTTTTGACTTGTCTGAAAAAATATAAGTAGAAAATGAAGGGAAATTTGTATTGAGGATATAGTCTTATGAATATTGTAACTATGGTATTTTTCTCAAAAGTATACATGGGAGCTACATGTAAACAAGGTCAGAGTAATATTATTAGATTATTCTGATGTGTGCACACGTAGGCAGATATGCGTTTGACCTGCACGTAGCTTCTCAAAAGTTATAAAATAGAAGAGGAGCAAATATATATAATTAGTTATTTTCAAGCATATGAGTTTTCTGTGGAGGTTCTTTTTAAAAGAAAAGCTGGCTTTTGATTGTATTGCTCAGAATATATAATATTGGTTTAATTTGCACATTTAATTAGACTAACATCACTTGAAAATTATTTTTCACTTCCAAAAGACACATTGGTGGCGGATAATACTGGTATGTTGAAGTGCTGACTTAGATCAGACACATCTGGTTCTTCGCAAGCTACTGACCAGTGTTTCTAGTTCCATCTTGAAAACCCAGTCTCTTGTGGAAGAGCTGAAAGAGAATTGGCTGGTCTTGAATAGAGTCCACTGACACCACCAAATACTGGATATTGCTATATTGAAATGTAGTTTTCTGTATTTTAAATCTTAAACTTTGTATTTGTTGATTTATCAAAGTAATAAGTACAAATGCTTGCCTGTATTATAAAATACCAACAGTAAAGAGGTTTGGTCTCCTGATTAAAAAGCCCCTTTCTTTGCATGCCCTCCTTCTGTGTCTTATGTTCCTTGGTGACTTGTGAACAACAGTTTGAAATGCAGGAGAAACTTTATCATGTGTTTGGGAAGATCAGTGTAGATTTTACATTCTTGTCCTGGGCAATCATTCTTAGGTTGCAGGTAAAGAAAGATACCATGATAACTCTTCAGTAAATATTTGTGAAGTGCCTACTGTGGCTGTGCCAGCCCTGAGGTAGGCCCTGGGGATACACTGGTTCACAAGGCTAGTCTGATGAGCTTGGTCTGATAGTGTGAGAGCAGAAAACTAAACTGGGATTCATTCTTTTAGATTATAAATTCCAGGAGAGGAGGAAAGCCATGTCCTTTATGTATTGAGTTTATAGTTTCCTCAGTAAGCATTGTGATAATAGGTAAGGTTATTTTCAAGTAAATATGGGACTTTTAACTTTTTAAAGTCATGAAATGTTTCAAATATAAAAAAAGTACTGGAAATAAATTAACAGACACTTATATATCTTCCACTGAGATAATAGTGACTACACGTTTCTGAGGTACTCAAAGTCTGAGAGTGGGCAGAAGTTCATTCTTTCCTTAAAGTATTTCTTGAACAATAACTTTTTTAAATTGTGGCAATGTATACATAATATAAAAGTTTACTATTTTAACCATTTTTTTTAAGATTTTTATTGGGAAATTAGGGGATGGGAACAGTGCTGGGGAATTGGGGGAAGGGGAACAGACAAGTTGCTGTCCTTTTGTTCTTCAGTCTAGTTGTGGAGGACGTTGCCCCACTGGCNACCTATAATACGCCTTTTTTTTTTTCCTCCTAGGTGAAAAAGGTGAAGGCATTAAGAGATACAAATTGGTAGTTAATACAGTGTGGGGAATATAATCAACAATGTTGTAAAGATCATGTAAGGTGCCAGATGGGCACTGGACTTGTCAGAGGGATCATGTCATAGACTGTGTAGATGCCTGACCAATAAATATACTTAGAGCTGAAGTAGAATAATATTGAATGTCAACTGTAACTAAATACATAGGTATATATAGTCATGGGATGTGGAGTACAACATAGGGAAGATAGTCAATGGTATTGTAACAGCTATACAAGATGTCAGAGGGGTAGTAGCTTGGGGGGGTTTAATCACTTCATAATCACTTTATGAGGGGTTTAAATGTCTTAACTATTAACGTTGCTTTGTACACCTGAAACTAATAAAAAGAAATAAAAAAGGAATTGAACCAAGGGAGGGCAAAAAAAAAACTTATTAGAGCATTTTATAGGGTACACCCTATGAAATATTAGTTATTAGTAATGACTGGATAGATGCTTTGAAGTCTTATCTTAGGTGCCAGATCCATGTTTTGGAATTTTCTGCCTGTCTTTAGTGCTTATCAAAGTAACTACCGTTGATGGGCCTTTATTTTTTCCTCTGGTAGTAGCATTCTTTTTTTTTTTTCCTTCTCTCCTTTTATGTGATTGATTAGTAATTCTGTATAATTTTTACTTTTTATATATGAGAAGAAGCTGGGTTCTTTACTTCTTTACTTTCTTGCATGTGCCTTACATTTTGTTCAAATTTCAGTTTTTTTTCTTTGATGTTTCTTCAGCTAGGATAATTGCTAACAGGAAAGTAGTTCACAGAGTTACTGTAGTAACTCTTGCTAAACTTTTAAAGCATCATATACCAAACTCCTTTTAAAATTCAACGTAGCGGTAGTTTGTTTGTTTTTTTT